GCAATAAAACGGCAATTTCATACTTTAACCCCTAATATTAAATGACGGGACGAATAAATCGTACACCTGATGGTAAGCTACACGCCTGTTCATAACAGTTGCAGTGCCACTCAGAGCTTAAAATCGCAAAGATCTGCTGGGCACTGCAACTGCACCCGTCATCCTGAGACAGACTAGCTGACAAGTCCCATATGCCTGTAATTTGACCATTTGATCATGTCATATTGTAAACAAACAAATTCTCAAAAATAGTGACTAGAATCGAAGTTATTGCTTTTTTTTACTCGGAGCATTCACTAATGATTAAATGAAAACTTTCTGTCTTTACATCTTCATTATCCATTTATACACCCACTGTTGGGCCCAATGCGGGTTGGGGACTTAACACGTTTTCCGAAGGTTAAGAACCTTCTTCGACCCGCAGGTTTCATCCCGATAATTTCCTTCACAGAAAAACTCAGGGTAAATTTTTCAAATTAAATTTCGCACTTAAATTGCGAAAAACTCAGAGATGCAAGCTCGGATTCGAACCCACAGCCTCTATTTGATAGGCGACAGGTCAAATCATTAGGCTACCACGGTTTTTATCTTGTATCCTATATCTTTACATACTTAATCTATTTCAAAACTTGTGCTGTAAACAACTTAAATATGAGCTAGACAATCACATCAATTGCCTGATCTCAAAGTAGGGAATTCAGAGCAATGGAATTTTGGGCACTTCCCAGCACACCCACACCAACTAAAAAAGTTCATTTCCAAAATTGGTCCTACCGGACGTCGAACCCGGGACCTCCGTATCCAGTGGTCACATTGTAAACCGTTAGGCCGCCAAGGTCGTCAAAGAAACAGGGGTAACAAATATTAAACGGAAACTTATGCATAAAATAATTATTATATTTCTAAATGGATTTTGTCATATTTTCTCACGAAGTTCTACTGTATTTTTTTATTTGACTATAATTAGTTGTCAGAAGAAAAGTTTATGACCACTGCTTCTTCATTTTACGTTTTTTCTAATTCTTATATCTAAAAAAACGAAGTAAACTATAACAGAAGCCGCGTTTTTCTTGCCGCGTTCCAGCCTTAGCTTAGGTTGGAAATAAATTGAAACACCTGAAACAAATTTCACTGTCAACATTTATTTTAGCTTATTTCCTACGGCGTTCATAGTTTGTAACCATCGTCTCTCGTGTTTCATTCTAACAGCGTGCTTAATTTGTAATGCATGAGCGATTACAATGTCAAGGATTTACATTGACTCTTGTACCTTTTGTTCTATTGTGTATTAATATTAGTTTAATCTATGAATACTAATTCCTTTCCGCGTTGTTGGTTGGATACTAAATTGATAACAGTCCCATATCTTTCTACATAAGTTTTGTTTATAGTGGCCCTCCCTATCAACCTTTTGTTTATGCGGGAAGGGCACTACAACCTGTGCGAGCAAGCCCGCACAAGGACCATTTAAGTCAGGTCCTAACCCCAGATCAACCTCGGGTGCACGTACAGTGCCCTTCCTATTCCAGATAGGTACCGGAGCTGTAGGCACGCTCACTTCCCGTTGCGCATTGCACACCTAGCGGTTGCCACATGCTACCGGGACGACGAACGTGTTCACCCCTCCGGCTAACCACAAACCCCGGCGAGTCCATATCCGCCAGAGACACCCGTGAGGGTATATTAATGGCGGAGGTCTTGACCCGGACGCCCGCTGTACCCTAGTCTTGCCGTCGCATCCATAGTCTCTCCGGAAAACTCTATCTCTCGGGTTGGTAGATAGGGACGACTGAATTGAGAACAGCCTCATATCTTTCTACATTAGTTTTGATTATGGTGACCCTCCCTACCGACCTCGTATACCCGAGAATGGCACTATAACCTGTGCGCGCACAGGTACCTTATAAGTTTAGGTTCTGACCCTAGATCAGCCAGTGTACTCTGTCACTTGACTTAATCCGGTTCTTCGAGAGGCTAGTGCCTCGGGCGAGCCGCCCCGGGTGCACTTATGGTACCCTCCCTATTTTCCAGATATATACCGGAGCTGTAGGCACGCTCACTTCCCGTTGTGCATTGCACAACTAGAGGCTGCCACCGCCAAGCCGTTGACTCTGAGTCCACTACCAAATCTCCTTATTGGTGACGGAGCTGTAAGGCACGCTCACTTCCCGACGCCAAAAAACGACGTCTCCCCGGTTCCCAATAACCTAAGCTGCTGGAGGGACCGGAGGATATCTAGCTCATCCTCTATTAGCTCTCCGAGCTAGTGCCCGAGATGCCAGTCGTATTGTCCTGCGACAGTGTCCGGACATAGCTTCCAACTTAAAGGGCAACTCGCATGCCCCGTGCGTCTCTTCGCTTTAGGCCCTCGTCTAGACTTACTCTACACACAGTCTTAGGCCTACTACGGCCACATCCTAACGAGGCAGACGAACGTGTCTATCCCTGCGGCTAACTACAAACCCTGGCGAACCCATACACAAGTCCAGATCTGCCAGAGAGGGCGTATTACTGGCGGAGGGCTTGGCCGGACGCCCGTTGTACCTTTGTCTTGCCGTCGAGCCCGTATCTCTCGGATCAGTAGATAGGGACAACAACTAAATTGATAACAGTAATAATTATCGAAATATGGATGTTTTATAAGTAAACAACACGAGGTGAAGCGATGATATTGCCGACATAGCAGGAACACTATGGTCAAGACTCACACAAGAAAGAGTCTGTTGGAAGAAGTTGGAGAAGGCTTTCACCGTTAAAAGCGGCCATTACACATCATGACTAACTGTAAATAAAGATAATACTAACCATACTAACGCATAGAATAAGTAGTACGTAAATAAGTAAAATAATTCCATTTGTATTGTAAGGTATAAATAAAGCTGTAAATAATTACGGATAACGCGGATATTAATATTAATTAGCAAAATTAAGTCAAATTATTTTAACGCCAAATTTGTTTTACGTTATATCCATTTGCCTAAAGAAGTTAGTCTAATGACTAATTCAAATATTTATAATGATTTATAATGAAAACTGTGAGCATTGTTAACAACTATAACATTTATTCCTGTGTTGATTTTGTAGGATAAGGGTGCTGTTTTAACACAAGGTAACAATTTTATGTCTTAGGGTGACGGGTGCACTGGGTTCTTTGCGATTTATAGTTCTGAGTGGCGCTGCAACTGTTATGGGCACCAGGTGCACGTACTCCTGTTCTGTGTTGTCGTTGTAATTTTAAATGTGCAGTAAAAAAAATTTATTTCATTAATTAATGCTAGATCAAATGTTTAGGTATTTAATATTAAAACACGGTCTTACAAGAAATGTACGAGGCACCTGAAGATATTGCATAAAGAATGTGCTGATGTGTTACACGATAGGATGTATAAATCTTATTGTAATATAATATAAAATCCTGAAAAAAGGCTAAAATAAAAACCTAAAACGTATTATTCAAAAATAATATATCTGACTTAAAATAAACAAATAAAAAGAAGCAAAGTAACCAGCCAGTGTTTTCAAAAATCAATTACATTATTTTGCTAATGTTCCAAATGTGTAGATGATTTTATAGGTTCAGTTTATAGTTGTAAATTTGTAATAATTGTAAGACTACCTTTGCAACCATACTTAGCGTATGTTCCACTAGTTGCACTATGCTACCTACGTCCCTTCTAAAGAATACAAAAGAGCCTTATCCCGAAAGCTAATTGATTCAATTTACCTCTTGTTTCCATTAAATTACGTATCACAACAAAACGGGTTACTTAGTAGATGGACTTAAAGTAAACTCTCCACCGTTTAAAATAAGATAGGTTTTTGAACCTACACTTTGGTGTAAGGCGTATTTTGTAAATGGAGTAGGTATGATAGATTTTTGTTTTTTGTAAATAGTGATACGAATTAGATCTTGTCAAGATTAATAAGCAGGTGTTAAGTATATTCAATTTGTATGCAAAATTAAATCTCATTTTGTTCTTAGCTTTTTAGCGATAAAGGCACTATTCATAATATTATTATCAAATAAATTTTTATGTTAGCATGCGCACACACATCCACTAACACTCACGTGCCAACATATACATATACACACACAAGGATGCATGCACGCAAGTCCACGCGATCACACACAAATGGAAAACAGACCATTACACCAAATCATAATGTCCTTTATTGGTAGTAGAAATTCGCCACTTTTTCCTCTTTAAAGCTTTTACTCCGTTGTTGCATTTGGTTCAATAGACGTTTAAGTCAAAAATTCTAGCCTTGAACAGCTCTAAATTGTTGTTGTGTAAAATAAAAAATAAACGTTTAAGAGCTCTTACATACGGCGATTTTATCAGCGATGCATTAGCGATGCAAACGCGACGCAATAGCGATGCAGTCGCTAGTATTATTACACACGCGCGCGATTTTAAGCAGCGATGCAAACGCGCGATTGCATACCTGCTAAAAGTCACCGTATCTAACCACTCTAAATAAGTAAGTGTTCCAAAAGGACAAAATTAAGAATAATATTTTGAGAAAAGAACAAGCATGCCTATTACAGTTCACTATACTTTAGTACTAATCTGTCCCAAAGTTTTATTGTCACCTAAAATTTGCTGTCTAAAATCTGATTTTGCTTAAAAATAAAATTGATACTTAATAAAATATAAAAACCGATTACAGAGGGTTGTAGATCTCGTTTCGCTGATACTAGACGTGTTAATAACTCTCTCTCACTGTCTCTCTCTCTCTCTCGACTCAGTTTCGTTAAAAATGCCGATAACGTGAGTATATGGACGGCAGTAATGTACATCGTTTCACAGGGGCCAATTTTAGGACCAACATTGTATTTTAAGCAGCAGGTAATGTGTACAAGAAACTTGCTGCTACTTTTACACAGATGATACTTAAAGAATGTAAATTAATTTTAAGCTTATTTAAGTATTAACTGTTTGAGTTTATCTTGCCCATAACTTTTCATTAACTTCCATTTTTATATTTATTTTTTCTAGACCAGTAAAGAACCTGTCAGGCGGTCAGCAACGGAGAGTTTCACTGGCGGCTGCTCTGCTTCACGACCCAGAGCTGCTCATTCTGGATGAACCCACTGTTGGAGTAGATCCTGTTCTTAGACAGAGGTACGATCTTACTTTTCGTATATTATTACAAAGTGCTTTGTGGATCTTTTACATGATGATATATAATTGTCGCCTCTATGGATGATCATCACACTGACTGGCCAGAGAAACAGACTGACAGACATTTAAAATTAGAACGATTCTAATTGGACAAAAGACTACATGAGCGGTTTTGACCAAACTGCTGATCTGAGAAGACGACGTTCTTGAACGTATTGTACAGACAGACCTTACAATAATATACATTTAAAACTTAATATTTATTTATTAGTATTTTTGATAATAGGTTAGTGTTTGGTGGTGATTTTTGTAAATACAGGACTCTATAAACAAATAAACGTTTCTACTGGAATTCTATTTTAGAAGAAACATACATTGCACAAATAAACTTCGATCTACAACATTTGGAATGAAAAATGAAAATGAAAAGGTTTATTTCAGTTTTTTAAGTTGTTTTTACACAAGGTTGGGACTGCCTAGTAGGTGTCATCCACCTGTGACAAGAAGTCCCTCTTTCCCGTTATGAGTTGTATGAAACAAACTATTAATTTCTAAGTTACAAAACTAATTATACAAGTTAACAAGGATGATGCAATATGCTAAGCTTAACGATTCTACAAAAAATGTTGTGAACGAGAAATGTAAACTAAACTTAAATTTAAACTTAAATAAATTTATTTATTTATTTATTTATTTATTTATAACTATACATCTACCCTTACAGCTATGCATAGCCAATGTGATAGAGTACAACTCAAGTGACTTATAAGCTACTAACTAAGAAAAATGTAATATGTACTATGTATATACATGTAGGTGCTAACCATAAATTTTATCAATTATCCTATATTTACAAATTATATTATATTTGAACATAACAAACAATAAAAATTACAATAATTGTTGTAAATGACAAATGTATACAAGTATTTATTTACCAATATCTTCAATTTATTGTATATACCTCTCAGAAGAACCTGCCTTACGAATGAATAGTAGAGTTTAATGAATATGATGAATTGTAATTTGCTTACCCTTGATATAAAGATTATTTATTTAATTTTTTATTATTATTATAGGCTACAAATTTTATTGGTGTAGAAACTATATAGAGGAGACAAAGTATAGAATCGCATAATATAATAAATATACAAATAGCATCAATAAAAAATAAGAAAACTTGTGTTTTTATTCGTGAGAGAGTATTGTGTGTGAAAACGTTAAGTAGTGATTATGTTCTCCGTTTCTTCAAAATTAAGTGTCAACAGCCAATTTTTCACTCTTTTTTACGATTGTACAAGTTTAAATGGTAAATATCTCTTTTTTGGTTAACAGTGTTGTATGAATGTGCCGATATTAATAGATTGCCTTTTGACGAATACAGATTTAGAAATTGGTTGAGGTACTAAAATGTTTTTCCGTCTACGAGACATAAGCAGAGGGTTATAAGGAAGGGACTTGTGTAGCTGTATTACTGCAAATAGGACGTACAGTTTCATCATTGAGAGGTGACCACAAAATTTTTAAAGTTCGTTAGTAGTGAACTATGACTTCAAATTTATTCCCAACATAACTAAATTGGATGATGAAAATGTCTGTATTGGTACTGAATAAAATTAATAACAATCAGTAAACAAATTATCTAAATTGTTCCTGTTAGCAAAGGGCAATTTAAGGTCATAATTTATTAGGCAATGTAAGATCCTAATTAATATACAAATTTATTAATTTCACATCCTTTTGAGAACATTTTATGTGAAACGCGAAAATAGCTATTTTGTGCCTTAGAGTTGAGTACATTATAAGGGTACGTACAAATCTTGCAGCATTATACGTGCGGTTAAATGCGCCTCTGTAATCATACTTCACGTAAGATAGGAAGCATACAAGGCGTGCGATTGGCGCGTGAACGGCACCCGATCGACATAGTGTATGTGGTAAGTGTGCAGCTCGCGAGGTTTTCGCAGACTCATTCTAGCGCATTCGCCACCTTTGCGCCGCGCCGCTGCGCAGCCGCCGCCGGCGTAATTTGTTTTATTTTAATTTACTTTAAAAGTTAGAGAATAAATAGCCTCATACGGTGATAAATACAGAACTGGGCTAGAACATCACATAATCAACTAGCCAAGCAGCTCACCATGCCTGAAAGCATACGACGACTAAGAAAAGGCGTGACATCTTTGACCACGGTAGTCAGTAAAATACTTGATTACACAACCGATATGGCATATATAGGGCATGGCTCCACTGGTAGTAGCACCCTGTTCATTACGAACTACATACAACCTATCAATTTATAGCCAGGAAGGCTGATTGCACGATAAAGGAAAAAAAAATCTTTGTTTATTATTTACTATATTTTAATACAAACGTCAATATACAGTCAACAGCATATCAAACTGTTCACTTTTATTCGAATATCGTAACATTTTTTCAGAATATACAGGATTGTTTGTATAATACTAACAACGTCGCAGGAACATATTACTAACATCATGAACAACAACTTTTGTTCTATGACTTACAAAAAAAAAAACTTATTTCGTAGTAAAACGCTTATTATACTACCCGTTTTCAAGGGCCCTGAGTCAAGTGTGTGCATAGTTAAGTTAGGTCAAATTACGGACCCTATCTCCCTAATCTCTTATTACACTTTCCTAAGTTAGATTTAGGGTCCCTTGAAATCGTGTAGTATAATAAGCGTTTAAAGTACAAAGTTCTTTTTTTTATTACATCAAGTGACGGGACGAACAAGTCGCGCGCCTGATGGTACGCTACACGTCTGTCCATAACAGTTGCAATACCAATCAGAGCTTTAAATCACAAAGATCTGAGCACTATCGCTGCGTTCGTCACCCGGACCTGCGTGCGTACCTGTAATCCCATGTCCCATGTGCCTGTAATTTCACCAGCACCCTTACCCTTCATAATTGGAACACAGTATGTAATGCTGTTTAAGTTCAAACGTGCTAGCGTCCTCCCAGACGACTCTCTCCCCCGCTGCTGCGTTTTGCATCGGTTTGTTATATACGTTAGCGTTTTCTTTTCTTACCGCACAGAGTTGTCACCATTTAGACCGATCTGTTTTGATATTTTTATTTCTATATTTTATATAGAACATGGTCAATTATTAAACGTCATAGAACAGAAGCTGTTGTTTGTGATGTTAGTAAGCCCTCTTTGAACAAGCTATTATGGTCGACCTCCCCACATTCTGCAAACAACAATTATTATTACCAAACCTCCAGAAATCGGCGCACGTCCAAACAACGGGATTATTGGCAATGGAAGCAAACCTCACTGTTTGCTCCGCACGTGTAATCATTTTTGTTAGATCAGAAACTAAGGGTATCCTTATTAAGTACGTGCTTGGTATTTTTGGTAACCATGTGGATTATAAGAGTTTAGCTTTGATTGACCGGGTTATTGAGCAGTTAACTGGAAATGTCAATTGCGGTGATGGAAATAGTACACTGTGTATTAAGTGCTTTAGTGGCTCGAGGTTTGTAATTTTTTACAAGTACAATGTTTTTCATCACATTTGCGGGGAAATAAATGCAATGATAATTTAATTTCTTGTATGAATAATTGTCGCTTCTTAACACAACCATTACGGATTTTCCAAATAGCGGGTTTTTTTAAACAGTTGGCCAGCTATTCTTCCATAGATAACAATACAATCAATCTATCGAACTAAAATGCCATGAATTACAAAATACTAAAAATGCTGCAGAATTTGAATATACATACACACATAATCATCACGCCTGTCTCCCACATGGGTATTCAGATCAGAGGATATTGAATTTATAAACTGAATTTAGTAAAACATAAATTTCGTATTTCAACTTATGCGGAATAAATTCAGATTTTTTGAGCATAAAAACTTTTTGCTTAATCTTAACATACAGGAGAAGTACGTGCCTACAGTACAATAAAAAAATCCATTATCATCATGTGATGAAAAAGCCCGTGGGCGTAATTTAGACATTGCGGCCGACTTTGCTTGCAAGTCATGACATTATTTACGAGCAAGTGGGATGAAAATAATCATTTACTAGACAGTATATACTCATGAACACATTTAAAGGAACATTATAAAAAGTGGAAATATTATAACAACGTTCTTTGGAACCACTGGCCACATATTCCAGAACATTTCTTTTGAAAATAGAATTATTTCAAACGTCCTTTGTTTTGGATTAGGTGATTGAGTACAATTACACAACGGACTTTAGAAAAAGACAATCTGCAGGTTTTCAGCTTCTGTAGAGCATACTCTCTGTCACTCAATACCTGTGTGAGATTTTGTCGATAATTTGTCAGTCGTACGATGGAAATGTCGTTTACAAATCCGAAGGCAGCCGACTGTGACCGATAGGCTTTGTGTAAATATATATATATTCTGCTGTCCACTAACTAAAACGTGGCTAAGAGACAAATGGTCAAATATCTGTTTTAAATAGCAAAAGATAGATCACAAAATTCTCTTTTAAAATTAGTTAACATAAAGTAAAGTAAAGCTGAAATAACAATAAACAATTAATAATAATAATAATAATAATAAACAGAATCGTAATAAGAGCTCATGGTAAGGCCCCTGGTATCAGTAGCCATTGTTATCAACCAATATACACACATCATAATTGTCTAGGCATAATAGTAGATTGTACAACAAGTGCATAAAACGCGTTATTGTAGTCGAGACGAGGATATCCGTGGATACTTAAAATGAGTTTTATGAACGAGTTATACACTCTGCTTTTCACTTCGATTGCGAGGAAATTAAACAGCAATATTGCAAATAAACCATAACACAACTATTGCCAAGACAAAATAAGAACTTTCCGCCAATGTACTATTTTTTTTTTTCAGGTTGGACTACGTAATGCTCAGTTATGTTTTACAAGCTTTTATTTTTTATACATTTCTATTTATAATAACTTATTAGAATTACTATTGCCTACTTTTTTAATTTTGTAATATAACACGGATTACAAAAATAAAAGTAAAACTTTATTTTATAAAGTTCTAGTGTGTTCTAGGCTGTTGGCGCAGGCGTCATTGCCTCGGTCTTAAACGACGATTTTAATCTGCTTAAATTACTAGAGCATAAAGTCCTATTTTATTCAGCCTACCAGTATAAATACGAACTTTAAGAGCATGAGAAGTGAAAAGGTATTTTTTTAAATATTTGATCACCGTACTAAAATTAAATAAAAATATCTATATCAATTTATTATAAATTATTTATTTACATAGTTACTTATTTTTTAAATTATGAAATTGGCCAAAAAACTATTGATGTTAAAAAAAATATTAAAAAGTGTGTTTTTTAATAATTGATAAAAACGTTTTTGAACGCTGGATACTTTTGATGAGTGTACATCCCAGTGCTGAACAAATGTGTCCTCTAAGCCGAGGTTTTAAGCCTAGCAGCCTAGTAGCCTTCGAAAAGCCATTTAAACCATTTCTGACACAGAAGTTCCAAAACAATAAATACTAACTTAAAAAAGCTATAAATAAATGAACCTTTCCCCATTTCACCAGGAAATTGTTATGATTTTAGCGTGATTTTTAAGTAGAAGCGCAATATTAAAAAAAACTTTAGGGATATGAATCCGTTTTTAATCGACTTCAAAAAAAGGAGGAGGTTCTCAATTCGACTGTACGTTTTTTTATGTATGTATGACGCGATAACTTATTTATAACGGTATTTGAACCGATTTTCATGATTCTTGTTTTGTTGGAAAGAGGGTATCTCCATAATGGTCCCATTTGATTTTGAAGAACATCATCCACCTCTAAGGGTGAAGCACCAGAACCACGCATGAAGATTCATTTTTATAAATAGCGCCTAAATTTTATCATAAGCAGCAATTATTTGAATGGTTGATTTTGCTATTCTTCAATTCAAGGCGTTTTTTTCTCGATATACTTTGAGAAGTGAGATCCGATTTTTATTTTATTTTAGTGGCGAACTAGGGGATGAATCCGGGTTTGCGCACTACCCGGTAACCGATTGCAATAAAACTTGGTAATTATATGTAATTCCACGTACTTTTGAGGTCGGTTTTTTTATATTCTCAAGTCTTTAAGACATAAACAAATTACGCTTAAAATTGTCATGCAGATTAATTTCTCTATAGCTCATTCGCAAGGCAAATTCCCCTGAGAAGAATAAGCAAGAAACTCCAGGAGTTCCTATTTGTAAATAAACATTTGTATACATTTATCATTTACAATATTTATTTCAAACAACATAGATCGAGACAACCTGCAAGAGCTAAACGGGTCATTAACACGGACTTTTGTTATCAAAATTCACAGAAGCTGTATAATAATAACAGTCAGTCGCAGTCGAGCTCCTTGTGAAAGAGTTCGTCCAGGGAAGTACTGCCACCTTACCTATTTCTGCCGCCAAACAGTATTGTTAGTATTACTGTGTTCCGAGTTTTGAAGGGTGAGGGTGCTGGTGAAATAACAGGCACATGGGACTTGTCAACTTATGTCTCAGAGTGACGGGCGCATTGGCAGCCTCAGAACTTTGCGATTTAAAGCTCTGCAACTGTTAGCGACAGCTTACTATCAGGCGTACGATTTGTTTATCCCGTTACTTGATTCTATAAAAAAAAGTTATAAAGTTTTTCTGACTCTGATTCCTTTTATATTTATGACAAAAAATTACTTCATTGCAGCATTTGGGATCATCTAGTGGAAATAACCAGAGGAGGAAGAACGACAGTCATCATCACCACGCATTACATCGACGAGACTAAGCAGGCTGACATCGTAAGTATTTAAAATTACGTTTAATTACGTGCGTTACAAATCATTTTATGTATTTTTTATTATGTGCAATGTTAGATATTTTCTTCTTTAATAATTCGTTTTAAAGTGTAAAACAAAAGTAATGTACGGACAATGGCACATCAGTCTACATATTTTTGTTCGAAAATCGCCTCCAGTGCAACGGAACAAGATACGTCAACGTGTAGCTTCATATGCTGGTGTGTGTACATCCTATCGTGTAACTAATTAGCACATCTTTAGACAATATCCTTAGGTGTATCGTATATTTTTTAAAAGACCATTATTTAATAGTAAATATCTAAAACATTTGATGTAGCAGAACAGTTTTTTTCCTTATCTCCTCCAGTGACTTACCCATTGTCACGGGAATTACAATTGTGGAAGTATAAACATACTCTATGTTTATACTTCCAGAATTGTAATTCCCTTAAAACTAACTTTCCCTTCCTTGTTATAAATAACACATTTGCATTTTGATGAAAGAAAAAACTATCGAGAATCAAGGGCCGAATTATAGTTAACCGCACGATACAATAATAGTTATAAATGTAAATTAATATATTTTTGTCACAAGAAACCATCTCGAAAATTGTTTATCCGCTTTCGGTATTCACACACGTTCCGTCGTCGCGCGCAGTGTCAACGCACCATGTGCCATGTATAAGTTTGTCTTTTTTGAAGATGAAGTAAAATGACAGTTCATTGCGTAAAAGTGTTGCCTAGTGATTGCAGTCGATAAATATTCTGTCGACTACCGATTGAATATTGGTTACGCTTATGCAATAAATAGCCGAATTTGTTTCATTTGTATTATCATCGGCCCATTATTCGTTTAACTGCTGGGCACAGGTCCAATTGAATTGTCAATCTTTGTAAGTCATAAATATTACTATAGAACTATGTATATTAAAAATACAACGAGGAGACATTTTATAATTTTATTTCAATTCTAATAATTAAATCTGCCAGTTCTTGTTAAAATGTATCTATGTGAGTAAAAATTGATTTCGATACTAGTAGGCCAACGGTCAAAATAAGAATGAAGAATACAATAACGTAGTTAGTAATCATTAGAACGTCGTAACATTCACAATTCAGAAATTTTAGACAAAATTTTACATTTTTTTGCAATCTATCGATAAAACTATCGACAAATACATCGTGACTTTAAAATTGTGTGAAAACTGGCAACCCTACAAATGTCAATTTGCTCCGTCTTCAAAAAAGACAGACTACAGTTCTAATTTATATGAAGTACAACGTAGCGTCACCGCTCTGGCGTTGCAACGTGCCGACGTAAAGCACCGTGAGGCGTCACTTCTTAGGATCGTCTTTGTAGATCATAATCAATATTTACGTCGGTACATGTTTATTGTCTCAAAATGGCCGCATTTCGAAGTCATATTCCTTTTCCAAATCAGAGAAGTATTCTTGTTATGGTGTTTGCTCTTTTGGGCTTGTTCCATCGATAACTCTTGCACTCGAGCTCTAATGTTCGTAATTTAAATTAATTCCTAAATGTTACTGTAGGCTTTGTGTAACGAATACGGCTTGAATATGACCAGCTGCGTCTCTTTGTGTATTTTAATTCTAATGTTAATCTGCCTATCTGCTATTTTATTATTACAAGTTATCGTCACATTTGCGAGAATACTGGTTTAATATAGCAATTTTAATTATTATAAATTAAATGTATAATTGATTCGTGTATTTTACGATTTATTAACTTTACTCTTGTTTACTATCCCAGATCGGTCTCATGCGTGGAGGCAGATTCCTGGCCGAAGAATCACCAAGCGAGCTGATCAATCGTTATCAAGCTGAAAGTCTAGAGGAAGTCTTCCTCAAGCTGTCAGTTCTTCAGAATTTGGGTAAACGGCGAAGGTCCAGCATTCTTGCCGATTTAATGGAGAAGGTGGAGTTGCCTCCTATACCTGTAAGTATATAAGGCGAGTGTGACGGACTACCTTTTTTGTAAGTGTCTGTATAAATGTGTATTACACAGGATTTGTGATAAAGACGGGCAATTTCTTATTCGCCGGCACCAGATAGACAAAATAAAGCTTTACATAAAAATAGGTGAAATTACACAGCTTTTCGCACCACTTTTTAGGCATAGATGGTTCTTGTTTGACTACATCCTCTCTAAACCATTCGAGAGTGGTCAAATGCGGGCCGTGTCAGCAATGAATAAACTTTTGTTGCTTAAACTTGATTCATTCCTTTGATGCAACCCTGTTTTTGAGAATAAACAAGAGTATACTTAAAATGTGAATATTTCGAAAAAATTATATGTGCTTATCTTCATTTTCTAGGATCCGACTGCAATAGACCTATCAGAGGCAGAATTAGGGGAAATTTCCGGTGAATTTGGAGACAATGTTTCAATGTCCAGTAAAGGTCGAGTAGTGGTAACACCTGAGCTGAAAGCCCCCGTGGCAGCCTTGCCCCCTGAAGATGAGCCTCCTGAAGGATGCTTGGAGAGAATAAAACCGATGAAGTGGCATCACATGAAGTCGTTGATTTGGAAGAATTTCTTGGGCTTGTTTAGAAATTTCGGGTAAGAATTTTGCACCCCTAAATTCTTCTTTTTTCTTTATTAAATCAGAAATTGCTAACAAACAACAAAATCAAAAAAACAAATCAACACAAAGCAACAAAATCTTTAAGCCATGTTAGTTTTAATATTTTAATTAGATTTATTTTTCGGGCTCACCGAAATAATATTATGCTTTATCATTAATACAATAACCAGTTAAAATGAGTTGTGCCTTTTTAACACAGTCTGTACATTCTTAAAACAACAATTCGTACCTATTGGGACATGTAATACTCTTGGTATAACAAAGCCACAAATGATCATATGTGTAGTAAAAGTGCTTTTATCATATTAAAGTTTTAAAAATAATGCGCATTTTTTTTTAAATTGGGTTCGCGGATTTATATCTCGATTATGGGAATATTATTACGAAATAGAAATGAAATGATGGGGAATTCTAAATTTTAGCTACTTTCGATCAAACAACCAAACACGTCTACTATCGAAGTCATCTTTTAAGCACCGAGCGGCCGTTTCATTTTTATAATAATGGCGCGTGAGACGGCCTGCGCTAAGCAACGCGATTGCATCGTGAGATTAAGCGAATGTGTGCGTTTGTACACGGCGCGCGGAGGGCGCGCACACTTGCAGGCCGCGCAATTACGTTTGTATGGAGTTACCATACTTATCTTATTATATGATTATAGTCTGTATTTAAATAAACTTCCATGCGATAATAACGTCATGTTTACGTGAAAGCCATTTCCGAAACCTTTGTTAGAGACAACATTTAAACTCGAAAACCAACCCTAGTTGTATTTACAGCCATTATCTTACTACCACAATTAATAATATAGACTTATAGACGCTAACAAAACACACGTCTTGCGCACATCTCAAGAACACACAACTTTAATTAATCTCAACAATATAAATTGTTTACCACGCAAATTAATATATCTAAGTAGTTATATTTGTAAGTTATTGGCAATAAATAGTTAAGTTGGTTATAGGCAATATATGATAGCGTGGACTTAAAATGAAAAAGAACCCTTATTTAAAGTTTCAGTTATATAAGTTGAAAAGGAAGGCAATATCGCCCCTAAAGAAAGGAATTTAGGGAGAACGTTGGGGGAATTGCCATAAGTAGGTAAAGGTAGATTTTCCGTTTATCTAATTCACTAAAGTATCAACTTTACTGTATTGTAATAAGGTGTGCAATAAAAAGTTTTAGCATGAAATGTGAACCCAATTTCACATTCAAGAAATTTAGATTGATTGCGTGGATATAGGTTTTCTAAATTCATTCCTAAACTTCACACTGAATTTTGTTAATGGAGATAAATCATTAAATTTGTCATGACTAAATCGTTAAAACAGACATTAGTGGCTTTACACAGACACTATCGCGCGTGATACAGCAATTGTACGCCATTGAGCGCGCGTGTAAATATGTTGGAAGCGCGCGCGCAATCGTGCACTCCAACACGCGCAAGTTTCACGCGGTCTGTCTATTTTGAAGATGTCAATTTACTGTCAAAAATGACGTCACGGTGCGGCCATATCCATTGCGCACACTAAGGGCGCATTTATTTATTTGACACGAATTTCATCGCGCTTAACCCGCGCGGCTGCCGCGTGATCGCCGAGCGTAGTCCGCGTTGTCGCAGCGCAGCGACCGCGTGCGTCTAACTGTCATGGCAAAATACGCTCTATTTGTTTAGATTTTACGTTTTAATTTAAATGAGCGTCTCGAATTTGGTCTACTTGGTGGCCGCGCGGTTGTATTATTCAATGCTCAAATCAGGTTTTGAGCAGATTTGAGTATGATTTCAAGCACTGGAAATACGACCCTAATGGCAAGGACTTGAGTATGATTTCTAGTGCTTTGAATCATACTCAAGTCCTGTCTTGAGCATTGAGTAGAGTTCTAGAATACGACCCTAAGTCTATTACTCTTATAAATTTGCGCCAATACCAAGTCTGTTGCTCTGATATTGATAGTAGAGCATAGTTTTTTTTTTATATAAAATAATAAGTGCCCGTTTGATTTCCATCTCACCTGATAGAAAGTGACGACGAGGTCCGTGATGGAGCATACATCTAAATAATGTCTATTCACTCTCGCTTTGAAAAGCTTTTCTTACGCACATTTTCTATAAGATATTAGACTAGTTAATTAACTTAGTACAGACATATCATTAGTTGCAATGAGCGGCCCTTTTTAAACCAGATTAGACATAAAAGCGTCCAGTAATATTATCAAAACTCATTTCAGTATAGAAAGTTCTCTATTGAATTATTCGATTAGATAATTTTAAAATTCCATTTCCATTCGCACCTTGATCAGATAAGGCTGAAATTTGAATTAGAACAGATTCTACCTGCTTAATGGAGAAAGCATAATTGATACTTTTTGAGAAGTGGAACCCTCTTAGCGGTATACACTTGTAATTATAGGGAAACAGAAATGGGAGAAGAAAACTTTGCAGCCAAAGTAAGAAATTAAAATTATTATTTACAACTATTTACATTACTGCTGGTCTCCCATGCAGAGGTCCCGGGGTCGATTCTCGAGTCGGGAGAAATTTGCATGGCGTATGGCCTTCATTTATTTCTCTCGTGAGTTTGGGTGTAATGTGTGGTTATCTCGGTCATTCTCAGACTAGTGTTCACTTCCTAATTCCCGTGGTAATTTGTATTATTTAAGTATTCGATTTTTTATCGTGAAATATGCTTGAATATTTAAATAATAAAAACTGCTATGGAAATTAGGTAGTGAACACTTGTCCGAGAATGACTGGTCTTTGTGTGTGTCCATGACACCTGCGACACAGGGTGTCCCTAGTGCGGGGTAAGGAAAGGATACATAGTCATCTCCGCCCAAGAAGGCACAGAGCTTCCGGCGTGTATGTGTGCGTGTGGGCTACGTTTCTATAGCCGTGTGTAAGCCCAAGTGGCTCAACCTCCACGTCCGATGGCCGAACCAGGACTAAAGCGGACAGGGGGGAAGCTGGCGCCTCTGGCTATTACGGGCGGACCGCGTGCGAATTTAGGTATTTCTTCGTATTATTAAAACAATTGCATATTTTGAAAATGTACGGAGTATACGTTATGGAAAAGATGTAGTTTTGTTATTATCAAATACTGATGACCTTCCGTGAAGTATTTACGCCGTACTAAGGGTTTATTTTGTCTTTTTAGAGATAACTTCGGATTTTTTTTTCTATCGAGGAAACTACAAGTGATCGTGTTTCTAAACAGTCTGATTTATAAAGTGAATCTTTAAATATCTTATACGTGAATTTCATAACTAAAGCTTTAGTTATAACTCTACAGCAAGGGATCAAACGAACATTATTAATTATGTATCACTGTATCGGCGCAGTCTGAACCAGTGCTCGAGTAACCTTCTACATGTCCAGGTTTCGTTACGATATTATCCGTTGTCGTTAAAACATATGACCATTTAATATTGATATCTATTGAATATTATGATTTTTTTTACTGCCATAATATTAATTTATTTTTTGTGTGTAATTACACAAACTCCACTAGTTTGTTATAATTATTAATCCAAAATCGAATAAACAGAAAAAATTCCTTTGATCTGACAGGAATCGAACCTGTGTCGGTATGTATGATTCGGCTAAGCGCTAAAAGCCAAATAATTTTGATAAAAAAGAAAGTAACAAATTTTTTTTTAATACTTAGGAAATGAAACTATTTTTCCGGATTTAAATAGCGTATATTTGTTTTTTCAAACAAACCAACGTTTCGGGCCCTGTACAGGTCCCATGGTCACGGTTGACTTAAATCCGGAAAATCTAAGAACTCGATACTTACTTACTTACTTACTCCGCTGGCTAAGCGACACAAAATGTGTCCCGGCCTCCGAAACGAGATGATGCCACTTTCTTTGGTCTTGAATTGAAGCTTGTAATTCGTGCAGATCCACCTCCACGGCGTCGCTCCAGCGATACCTGTGACGACCAACCGGTCTTCGTCCAGTAGGTGGACTCAGATAGGCTCTCTTCACGTTACGATCCTCTCCCATTCTTTCTAAATGGCCGAGCCAGCGAAGTCTGTGCGCTTTGGTTTTTAATAAAGTCACAATTTAATTTCATCGCATTTCATTTTGAGTAAGATTCCGAAGATGGCGCGGAAATCCTATAATATTAGATAGTCCTGAAAGAATTTAAATTAAAATTAAAGTATTTCAGTCTTGATATTTGAAAAGGACAGTATTTTTATAGGAGAGAATGCCGTACCAATAGAGCTCCTTGTGAAATATTCGTCCAGGGAAGTACCTTAGCTATTTCTGCCGCCAAGCAGTAATGTGAGCATTAGTGCGTTTCGGTTTTGAACAGTAAGGGTGAGGCCAGATAAGCGTAATTTTGTGAGTTGTGAAATTCGGTCAGGGCGCCAGACGAACTTATTTTTAAGCGACTTCAAAAAAAGGAGTTGGTTCTCATTTGATTGTATTTTTATTTGTATGCGTGTTACGCGATAACATGGTCTCATTTAAATTTGAAGAAAATATTTCATATCTAAGGGTGGCAAACCAGGGGATGAATGGCAATTGAGGTTGATTTTTTAGTACTCTGTACTGATAATTATATTCAGTTGCTTATAACATTGACTTACAAATAAATGGACGACGGGTCTAATACAAAAACCACGAAAAAAATGTCCCAAGTCAACCTATTTAAACGTAGTGACATGTAAAGGAATATGAAAAAGCTACAATGTTGAATTCAAATTGTAATGTCATCGCAGTACTGTCTAATTTTGCTTGCTTCGCTGTCAGAAGAAACAAACGAAGACTAAAGCGTGAATGACGCTCTGTATACGATTTTAACGCTCTATAAGTTCGGACACTTTTTAGCGAGGACCCGACGTCCATATAATTGTAAGTCAATGGCTTATAAATAAAAAATGCTCTGTCATGACATATTCAAACTATCTTTTGTCTTTCGTTTTATAGAACAAAATTATGAACATATTTAAATCAGGGCAAGTCTACGTAAGTTTCCTGTTGAAATTCAAAAGGGGATTTTAGTGCCACATACTTGATAAAACTTTTCGTTTAAGTCTAAGTAGTGAAGTATTGCTTTTGTGGAACTCTACCTTAAAGTTTCAAAGATAGCTTGCGTCATTTGCTTCCATTGTACGGAATTCAGGAGTTTTGGTAGTTTTTAACGATTTCTCGAATTTCATCACGTTTTTCATTTGTTTTTAATTGGAAAATTCCGTAAATATATTTAATAATAATAAAAAGACAAGGATTTTGATACTGGCTAACGTGGCTTGTGTCTTGGAGCCTCAGGGGTTGTGCTGTACAGATGGCAAGAGACCTAATGGCATTGTGAGTTACAAACTAATTTATAAATTACCACTTGCTATTATAGGTAGATGGCTCTAATCCTAAACAAAATAAAAGAATAGACGTCAGCATCCATAGAAATCTGTGATATAGGCGCCATCTAGTTGATTTATTTATTATCACTAGAAATTATAGTAGTTTTGATAAATTGCATCTCGTCAATGTAAAACAAATTAGCTACGAAAATAGATATTTGGTACTCGTAGCGAAATCTGGTGTACCAATAGGTATTAAATGTCCGACTAAGCTGTCTTGTATCGCGAATAACACGACTCTCTTTGTCACTGTGTCAAAAAAATATCTCTTAAAAAGCAACCCTATGAGCGGTTACACACGGCGACTTAGCAGCTATGCAAACGCGCGTAATCGCTCTATAATTGGCTGGACCTATAGCATTTAGCGAATAAAATCAAGTTCAACTAAAAATACTGACATTTTCTTTCTTTTTTCCAGCATTTTAGCCTTCATCCTCGGTCTTCCAATATCGCAAATGATATTATTCTGCGTGGCAATCGGGCACTACCCTGTAGGACTCCCTATAGCCATAGTGAACTACGAGCTTGGCCCTAACAACACCAACGTTTCCTGCTCCTATAATGACACCTGCCCACAAGACGAAAATTATGAGTGGAACCTGCAGAGGTTTAGCTGCCAGTACTTGGAGTTTTTGAAGAAACGCCAGAATAATTTTGTAAGTATTTTCTTTTTTTTAAAAGCTACCAAGGACGGGACGAACATGTTGTGTACTTGATGGTAAGCAACACACACGTCTGTCCAGGAGAGTTGTTTAAACTATTACTTTAACGATGACTTGTTGTTTTGTCATTAAACAACAAGCGAGGCTGTGTGTTTGTGATTTTGGCATCTAAAACTAACGTTATCTTATTCATTGTTTACTAATGTTAAATGTTTGCACTGATAACGTTTTGTTTAATATTATTTAATGATATATATAAACGAGGGAAACTTGTCATTGGACACACTTTTAGCCTGTTATTATTATTATAAACGGTTTTCCAATAAGGACATAACAATTTTGTATTTCAATAAAACACAGAATAATTGCATTATCGAGTTGAAATTTATTCCTGTTGCAACATAGGTGTTACATTTAAAAATAGAATTGGTTCTCGTTCATATGACTACCGCGAGCACCTTTGCATCTATCACACACTGGTCAAACAATCGATCTTGAAGAGGAAGTTCGATAATAGAGTAATCTTGCGAAATGATCCGGTCGAATGACCACCACGCTCATGCGATCTATCGCCGTTTTAATACGCCTTTTTATAGTGTTACGTTTAATCGTTGGCACGGAAGTAGTATTTATTTGGTCTGTGCTCGTTGGTTTATGCTAACAAGCCAATAACGTCAATTGAGCTGAGGAACAATATAAAACAGGACATTGCCAACGTTTCGGCCGATATGTGTGGAAGAGTGGTGGAAAATTGGCTCCAAAGAATTGAACGCTGCAAACGTGCTCGCGGTGGTCATATGAACGAGATCGAATTCCATTCTTAAATATAACATGTGCATTGCACCTGAAAATAAATTAAATTTCCGCTCGATATCTCAATTCTTCTGTGTTTTATTGAATTACAAAATTGTAATGTCTGTATTGGAAAACCTGATATACATAAAGCTACAAGTTCCGACTTACTGATAGAAATAGAATGTATACTTCCCGATATGGTGGAAAACAGATATTTGTACCGTAATACGAGGATAGGTTTCGAAGCAAAGAATCAAATATGATGGAAAATATGAAAGAGATATTCGTGCTATTTTATGAGGTTAGGACTATACTATACATACGTCGGTGCATTTTATTTTTTTACTATAACATCAAGTGATGGGACGAACAAGTCGTGCGCTTGATGGTAAGCTACACGCCTGTCCATAACAGTTACAGTGCCACTCAGAGCTTTAAAGTGCAAAGATCTGAGGGGCACTACCACTGGGCCCGTCACCCTGAGACATAAGTTGACAAGTCCCATGTGGCTGTAATTTCACCAGTACCCTTACACTTCAAAATCTGAACACAGTGATGCTGGCATTACTGCTTGGCGGCAGAAATAGGTAAGGTAAGAAATAGGTAACTGCCCTGGACGAACTATTTAACAAGGAGCTCTTCTGCTACTAAATATAGTGTAAATTGTTTTCCAATTTATTATAATAGCATCTGGTCTCTCAACGAGGTAATATTTTACATATTATATAGGATATAGTGTCTCAAGTCAAAAGTCTTCGACCAGTGTGTGTTGCCAGTGATGACTTACGGCACTGAGACGTGGTCGCTCACTGTGGGTCTCAAGGTCTGAAGAAGAAGAGGCTCAAGGTCACTCAAAGGGCAATGGAAAGGGCTATGCTCGGAGTTTCGTTGCGAGATACAATCAGTAATGAGGGTATCCGCAAGGGAACCAGAGTAACCGACATAGCCCTAAGAATTGCAAAACTTAAGTGGCAAAGGGCAGGGCACATTGCTCGCAGAACAGATTGCCGATGGGGCCAGAGTTGTCGAGTGGCGACCGTCCACTGGTAGACGCGGCGTGGGCACACCACCCAGAAAGTGGACTGATGCAGGCGGCGCAGGACAGATGTTTGTGGCATTCTTTGGGGGAGGCCTATGTTCAGCAGTAGACCAGTAGATCATCGTGATATAACACAAAGGCCCAGTCGGTTTTCAGCTGAAGATTGAATTGTTTAAAACAATTTTTGGACTCATACAAATGTTCCATTGATCGCGGCACTTTATGTAAATTTGTCGCTATCAGTATTATCAGCATTGAAATATGACGGGAGTTTTGTTAAATCCTTAATGTACTGTGAATCCTTTATGGGCGTTCTTAAAATGGGTGTAGTTGTTACCTTTGGTGCGAGTTTGGAGTGAGAATGCTGTATTTAACGCACAAGTTGATGCTGTCCATCCACTCGAGACACTGTTAGTACAAATGGACAAAACTAGCGAGAATAAAGGAACTGCCTCCGTGACCGAACGTTTACCACGCTGGTCTGCCACGTCGAAATTTCGGGTTCGATTCCCGGGCCGGGAGATATATTTGTATGGCATACATTTATTTCTCACGTAAGATTGGGTGTAACGGATCACTACCACGGATTTTTATCATCGAACTATGCAGAAGCTGAATCAGTGTGTGCATTATATCTTGGATTGTAATTTTAATTCAATAGTTTAATTTTCTGACATTTTTTCAAAATTTTATTGAAATTGAATGAATATGTCACGCGGACCTCGCGTAATTAAATAGATCTGTCGGTCCACATGAATTTTATGTATACTCTTGTATATACTGTATTGTATTGTATATTGTATATATATATTGTACTCTTTATTTTGTATATATATTTATGTACAAAATAAAGAGTACAGGAAGGGAAAATAGCAGGTAAAGGCGTAAAGGCTTTAACAAAGCATCATGATATTAAAACAGGTACAATCTGATCAAATCAAAAATGGCATCCTGAGTATGTTTGCCCATCGTTTTGACTGTACAATTTTAAAGTTTGGGGTAAACATTACAATTGGTCAAATTAAGTAATAATTGTGCATATTCCAAATTTTAATATTTAAATTTTCTGTCAATATCTCAAAATTCAATGTAATCATACTAACATATTTCTAAGGTTTTCTTTTGTAACTAACATCATTATCTTATGGGCTATGGCCTGAAATAAATGGTTTATTATTATTATTATTACAATCGTATAAAAACGCCCCCGAACTACCCCGAGTCGCATTACACGCGGAACGGCGGAGGTAAGCTTCACCAAGCTCGAAGCTTCGGAATGGCTGAAACATGTTCACCCATTCTACGTGAAGCAGGGTACAACTGAAGACGAAGTAAAATCTCACGTAGAACCCATCATTGGTACCAATAACATTAGAGTAGAGAGCCTGAAGTCCCGGCGTCCATCATTATATAACCAAATAATGGCGGGTGAAAGCCGGCCTGTGAGTGAATAGCTGCGTTAAACCCTGGCAGCAGTTATTTCGGCAAAAAAGTGATAAAAGAACGTAATAATAGCAATAAGAAAATATTATTGTTTTACCAAAATGTTAGAGGCCTCCGTAGTAAAACTGCCCAGTTCTGTAAAAGTGTTCTCAAATGTACATGTGATATCATTGCTCAAAAACACTCCTTGCTTAAATTAAATACTGGTTATACTAATACAGGAATTTACTCCAAAAGGGCCTGTAATTTCTAGAAATGCTATGCTTGCAGTTCGGTTACATGATTATCAATAGTACTACAGATATAATAGTAACTTGACTAGCAGTTAGGTTACATGATTTAACTGGTTAGAATTTTATGTGAAGTCAAACACGTGAGTTCGTTTTGGAAATTTAGTAGAGAATGGCCATGGAAAGAAGAAAATTAAGTGAAAAGGAATTTAAGAACGATTCAAAATTTCAAAGTAGGTGGCCAGAGGGTGTTATGAAGATTGAATGACGATGAAAGAAGTCGCATTGTCACAAATAAATGCCATCAATTCCCCTAGCAATCTATTCAGACTTAACTGCGATGATTTAATATTAACAGACTTGGAGCCCAGTTCTCTTGCGCACCAACTTAATTAATATGAACCAAAACACGAGTCTACAACAAAACGAATGACATTCCAGTGATAGCCCTTAAAATCTTAACTAAAATCCATAGTAGGGTACGGTGCCCTCACTTAGGTATCCACTATTTGTACTAAGTGCTTTACAAATAGTGGATACTTATGTTAGGGCACCGATTGTACCTAAACGAGCGAGGAATTACATCTGAAAAGGGCCAGTTCGAATGTTTATTAAAGCCGTAAATCAAGGGAAAGACAATTTAAGGCTTGTTATAATTCATCTCAGTTAATAACCTTGTTTCTAGCTTTCAAATCTCATTTCTTTATTCCGAATTCTTAAAATTCTTATTTCCATAATAAGATAGCGGTGTTAAGATTATTGAATATCACAATGTTTTACTACCACGAATTGAATATTCAATTGTTTTTTTTTGTGAAATTACTAGTTTGTTATAATTTAGTAGCAGTAGAGCACCTTGTTAAAGAGTTCGTCCAGGAAAATACTGCCAGGGTGCTGGTATATATATATATAAATTACAGGCACTTGGAACTTGTCAACTTAAGTCTCAGGGTGAAGGGCGTAGTATCAGTGCCCCTCAGATCTTTGTGATTTAAAGCTCTGAGTGGCCCTGCAACTGTTATAGACAGGCGGTAGCTTCCTGTCACTTGATATTATAAAAAATAATTATTATTATTATTACAAAGATCTAAGAATAATATATAACGATACAAGAATATCAAAGACAGAGATGTGCAACGAGCACATAGGAAAATTCCAAAGGTCAGGCACGGCATGCTGAAGGCGCTGGTTCGAAACCAGCCGGACAGAAGGTATTTTTCTTAGTATTATCTTTCTTAGGTATTATCTTGTGATTATTATTACAAAGATCGAACGATCTTTGTAATAATAATCACAAGATAATGGTGTTTTATTTTCAGAAAGTTAAAATAATACTTATTTGTTAGGGCTGCAAAGTGGTTGTTAAACGCGAGTGCTTGTATTGGAATTAATGCTCGCTACGCTCAGGATTCCAAAATAGAATTCTGATCATAGCGAGAGCGAAACCCTCAACTTTTCACCTCACTACAGCGAGGAAAATGGTAGAT